GTTCATCCTTGGGATAATAGGATATCGGCTCAGTGGGTGCCCCGAGAAATGGGAGAGCAAGGGCACTAGGCTTCTGATAGGCGAGGGATGAAGCCGGAATGGTGAAGCGGTGGGGGGGCACTCCCTGGTCACAAAAGCCGCGGTTGAGCGACTCCATTTCGTTCACCTTTGTTTATACCCCAGCGTACCCGTACTTTGCGTGTCTGTGTGTATACTGTAGACAGAACTGCGATTCCCAGCTTGTGCTTGTACGGATACATGTAACTGATATCATTCATTGTTGCGATGTGTCGTGTTATGTTTCCTTCTGCTCAAGGGTATCGGAATCCAAACCCAGTTGGGCATTGTCGGATTGCTCAAAGATCAATCCGGGCCGTTTTAGGTTGTATGAGGACATGTTGTCTTGACCACATTGGACAGGCCTTTCTACCAGGGACAGAATTCGAACGTCGCCTTCTGTCAGAAGTAGCCTTCTTGTCTGATGGCTCTTACGTAGTGTAGTGTGTAGTAGAAGTACGGTGGTTGTTCATCGGCAAGCACCCGGGAGCCCGGGTCACGGCTCGGTTGTGTCGCGGCAGGCGGACGAGTCGACCGGACCTAGTTGCTTCCCACAAGCATTAGTCTTTGTCCATAGCTCAATAGTATCGGGTGAATTTGAAGACGTTGCCAGTTAGGTAAGTTTGCGTGGGCTGGATGGTTGTGATGGTAGCAGTTGGAACCAAATTGATTGGGGAGAAAATAGGCGTTGTTGTTAGCTGTTTGGGTGGAGATTGATAACTGTTGCCACTGTGTATGTAGAATTTCTGCAAGTTTGTGTAGGTTTGCATTGATTGATTAATCGATTTTGTGATAAGGGCTGAGGCATCGCATTGTGATCAATCGACAAGCTACTAAGGTAAGGTAGGCACTGTAGGAGGTAGTTACTTGCAAAGGGCAAAGTTGGGAAGGAGCGTCTTCCTGGACCGCCTTCAGTTTTCAATGTCCTTGGCTTCGCAATCCATCCCCTTGGTCCTTCCCTCCTTCCTTCACAAGCCAAATCTTTTCTTGCTTTCATCTCATCCCAAGTTATCTAAAAACCCTTGCGATGCTGCACTTCGGTCTGCACCTGCACTCTGCATTCTGCACTCTGCAGCCCAACCCACAGGCCAAGCGGTCGCAGGATGAGCAAGTGGTGTGGTCCCTAGGTCAGCGTGTGGGTGGATGGTGCTTCTGGATTTGGCAGATGGTAAGTGTCTCCCCCGAACGCCCAGCACCATTGAGGAATAGTTTGACCTAGGTTTTAAAGAGGACCAGCCTCTAGTGGTGGTCTGTGCGACCGAGCTTATGTTTCTTTGCAGGAGCTCTCTCTATCAGGGAGGAACCTACGGATACTGAAGGGGATGCCTTCACCTCTAGGGATTCGCATTCGTCATTATCACTCACAAATGACAACTTTCCTCGATGCAGGGTCACTGCGCAATGTACCCTAGGATTCAAGGGATATCAACATATAACAAATTAATTACACTCAAGAAAATGCGGTAATGAGACAATCGGAACAATTACGCAAGGAATTAGGTACTCAAGGCAACACTAATGCCTCCCGCTTACCTACCCCAGCAGCTGGACTCGGAGCCGCGCTTGTCGAGCTTCATTGACCGGCACTGATGGATCGTCTCGAATTCTTTCCTTTCGGACCCTTTTAAGCGAATAGACCTTACCTGCTAAGAGAAGCTCTTCTGCCACTCTAAGGCACAGCAACTCAACTGTGTTTTGGAATTACCTACAGACGATGTCAAGGCCTAGGAGAAGCTCGGCCCCTGCAGTTGGTTAATCTTTGCTCATGGGCGAGCTTAGTTCTCCACCAAAAGTTTAGACGTTGGAGAGGTGGAGGACGGAAAGACGGGAGGAGCAGACGGGAAGGGTCTGTTGCTGCACACATTTCATATTGAAAACTTTGACGATATGGTCTCTGAATTCTTCTAACTCTCTGCCCATCAATTTGCATCAGGCAAACAGAGGCTGGTTTTATGGCATCTCAAGCCATGTCAGATCCCGGTTTGCAAAGTCTTCTCCCAGCCGCTTGGGAAGGAGGCTGGTGTAGGAGACTCGAGAGTCATCAGAAACGGGTCCCAGTCTCGTCGAACATTTGTCTTGGCCGCGGCTTAGTCATTTGACAGCAAGATCATTGTAAGCAAAGCTTCATAATGCTTTCATATATCTCATAAGGTATATATGATTTACTAACAAGTATCTACCTGGATCAGAATCTGCGACTGAGGTATCGAGGAATATTACGTCAAGGACGACACTCATCATTTTGGTGCTCAGGTTTCATTCCTGGAACCGGCAAGATGTGCCAAATTACGACTGTGATACGACACAACACGACAGAACCCTTGAATTCGTTTTCGGTTATGATAACTCAACCGGGCACCAAGCTTCTGCTTCCACGTCCATGGTACTGCAGACTCGACAAATAAGGTAGCCCCGATACCTCGTCTTGGCGTTTCTTGGTCAGTCCACCGCGTACGTATTGTACTGCAACCTTGGTAATCTTCCGAAGCACAACTGCCTGCGGCCTGCCCTTCCAAGCTACAGTGCATGGGCTGTTATTCCAGCCGTTTCGGTACTCCATAGAGACCCTGCTCTTTTTCCCGGATGCTTGAGACGGACAAAGACAAGCTTCGGACTACGGTACAAGGCAGGGCAAACCGGAGGAGTGCAGCTTAATTCAAGTGGATCGTAACAGACTGGGAGCACCAGCATCAGCATCAGCATCAACATCAGCATTTTCCTACACCGAAACGCGGTTAGAGATGATATATGCTCAATATACCTAGGCCAGAGAGTCCGAGCGAACGTCTAGTCGAAGTATTGGATGTCAGCGGGCGCTGTCCCTCAGGGACTTTGACATCGCGGGACGGGCGGTTATCTCACCTCGTCACGCCAGTCGCGTGCGTAACCCAACGTGCCCTGCCTCTTTCTTCATGATATCCAATGGCAACGAAGTTGGAGATACTCAAGAGTCAGGATGCATGAACGAAGAGCCTCAGTGAAGCAATGTCAAGACACAGACATATGTGGTATTTGTCCTCGTTGGTTCGGATCCAGTCCGTCTGCTTGTGCGAAGTGATATCTACACTCGCCGCATGAGATGGCATCAGTCAGGCATTGCTTCGGGAGGAAGTACTGTTACTGGCGAAAAACTATGACTCTCGACTGCCAATGTTGCACAGACTTGCAAAACAGCCGGCCGAGGAAAACTTGAAGCTAGGTGAAAGCATTGCCACTATCAGTTCTCGTCAAGGTCTATTGAAAAGTGAAATGACCTGTTGTCTGTCGCCTAGACTGTCTAGTATTGAAGCTAGCTCCGGCAACGGGCTCCATCTTGGGTACTGTACAGTCTGCACTACAGAGTAACTTGTAAGGGACCTCTCTTTACAGTACCTACCAGCTTTAACTGCCCCACACCCAAAACGTGCAAGTCAAAAAACCTTTTGTCAACGACTTAAAGCTACATAGTATCATACCCCGACATGGTCCTTCTCCAATGGAAAGTTGACAGTATTTGGCATAACATTATAACAAGTCAGATATCATGTTTCGCTTACGGTACGACGGTACGGCTCGACAATGTATAGCATTAAAGTTAACGTCTATCGCTTTGTTGGCGCTTTTTGCCTTCGATTCCTCTACCTAGACGTGTCTAGAGTGAGAAGCTATCGCGGAATTGGTAGGCCCTAACTGTCACAGTAGGACCGATTGCACAACCGCCATGGGTATTATTATCCGGTTGTATGGGGCGCCTTTTATCTGGCCAGTGTCTATCGAGATCCAATAACGCCATGGAATAGCCCTGACAGTCATTTTAGGTAGTTCAAATGTCTAGACTTGGTAAAGAGACCTTGCCCTCGTATGTTTTTGGACAATCCCATGGGGTAGTGTGCTGCTTCCCCAGACTTTGTAAAGCTGTTATAGCCTGGCTTTCATGAGTCTCGACACATGGTTGAAGGGTTGTTAGGTGAGCTTGTTACCAACCCCGATTTATTATTGGGCAAAGTCCGACTTTCATTTACCTCGCTCTGCTTTCATGTCGGCCCGTTCTATGCTTTGCCGCCGGACCTCTCTCTTCTTTCTGATACTCTTTGATACAAAGAGATCAGAATCCTAGACTGGCGGATGCGCGACCCGGCATGCCAGCCAACCAGTAAGGCAGGACCTTGTGATTCTCATGTTCTAGGCTCATTGAATATGCGGGGGATGAACATTTCCATCACTTTCCCCATCCCAAATCCCAACGGTCAGATGGGGAGTTGCCAGATTTCCGGATATATAGCAGGATATAGCAGGCTATAGACAGGGTTGAAGCCGACGAAGGATGTAAGCTCGTGTGATTGACTGCTGACACATATGTCTGTCAGAGCCGCAAATTATCGGAATTTGGATGTCGGGTTCGCATTTACGATGCCGTTTCTGTCATTTCGCTTCCGCGTGAATGAGACCCGAAGAGGGAGTATGATAGTAGTTGCATGACTTTGGTCTTGAACATCTCTCTTGAGGATGCGGCCCGAAGCCAATCATTTGTTGCTTACTTTCTTTGAATTAGATGATGGTGAATCTCTTGTGTTTACGAATGTGCTACTCATGACTGGGTAGAACTTTGCAAGTATCGCGATACGCACCCTTTGCACTGCTCGTCCATCCCCATCGGATATGCTACAGAAGACCAGCTGCCAAACTGGAGTGATTATACTCATCACCAATGATCTCTCGGTCAAGTGTATCTTACTTTGAACACCGGCATCACTGTGAGTGAGTTGAGAGCGCACATTGTATGTATCGCATGTTTACAGTTCTACCTGTGGGAGAGTAATGTGAAGTTTCTGTAGAAGCCTTAACAGTAATTGAGGACACACTCGGCCGGTTCCTGTCTAGGGACATATCGTTAAAAGAATAGTCTCCCGGATCATTGCTTGTAATCATGTATCATTATGACTATGAGAAGATTTGAAGCCATATCAGGCTAGTTCTTCAAGTCGCTTAGCCAAAGTCAGGAATCCTTCATCATCCTGTGTAATCCAGAGATCAACCCATTCCTTAGCTTCCTGGTATTTCTCGTCACTTTTATCCCATCCCTCTTCCCTAGGCCGTTCAATATACACAGTCCTCAAGCCGCATGACCTCGCAGCAGCAAGATCGCTGAGGTGTGCGGCGACCATAGCCACTTCCTCGGGCTCCAGTTCCAACTCCTTCGCAGCGCCGGTATACACCCTTGGGTTGGGCTTGTAGGCTCCAAATTTCTCTGCTGAGAGGAAGTACTGGAAGCCTAGGTTGCCAAAGTCGTTCAGATCTCTGAGTAGTGAGACGTTGCCGTTGGACAGAGTACTGGTCTTGTGTGTCTTGCCGAGCTTTTGGAGACCATCTGAGGAGTCATCCCACGGCGTCAAGCGATGCCAGACAAGACTGAGTGATTCAATCTCGGGTGGACTGTAGAGATCAGAGAGATCCCAGGCTTTTAGCAGCTCGACGAGACTGTCGTGATGGTGTTGGTCGATGGTCTTCCATGTATGCTTCTCGGGGTCAAAACCTCGAGTAAATTTCCCGTATGAGTTTCTCCACTCTTGAGCGAAGCGACCCCAGTCTTGTTCAGTGAGATTTTGGATTCGAGCCTTGAGGTCTTGGTCGAGATCGGAAGAAGCTTTGCGGAAGGCTCGCAGTGTCAGTTCCTCGGTTACGGTTGTGCGCCAGTCGACGGTAGTGCCGAAGACGTCGAAAGTGAGGCCTTTGACCTTGGCCAGTGGTGAGACTGCTCCTGGAGACATGCTGAATATGTTTTTAACGGTGAAATTATATTCGAGAACTTGGTGATGATGTTTCTTTTATCTTGCATGGATTCAAGTTGTATCTGTGGATTGTCTGGTGTTAAATACGTCACATGATAGATGTTACGCCCTTGATGTGACAATTGCATGAGATGAGTTGAGGGAACACATACCATGATGTGAAATAATGCACGACAGCAGGTTATCACTGTCAATCAAAAACCGAGTTACGACTGAGCGAACAATCTTGATGGCGATGGCGATAGGTGAACAAAAGGCTGCTGTCGGGAAGTGTAGGGTATCTTGGTCACGTCTGAACAACGATATGACCTATTTATTGTCACTCCAACATGGCATGACAGACAGTAACAAATGATTTGTTATAAATAGATACGAAGTTAGATTGAAGATATCCGAGCGCTGTGAGTATATCCTATTCGGATTCCAGCATCCAGTTGTGATGTCCTCAATGCCTGCTCGTAATAATCCTCACAAAGAAATAGCATATGTTTGATCATAGTAAAGTTGCAGTAAACGTAAATCGCTAGAAGAAGATAAAGGCATATAATGAGAATCAACTTTAAGGCTCACCATCAACAATATCAGTGCTCTGACACACCTGATGAAAAACGATACCTGTGTATTCTTAAAAGCAGCGACGGAGAACCGGAGCAGTTGCCAGACAATCGCAAGCATCAAGTCAAGATCGTTATAGTTGTTATACTCGTGACATCGATACTTCGCAGAGCATCCTAACCTCTGGTTCCGTATCTAGCTTCATGTTGCCCTACAATTTCTTGGGATACACCGTGACCCATTGCGATGTCTGGGCAGAACGGGACCAAGTGACCATGAGCTCAAGCCGCGTGCTTCTTGCTACAACTACCTCAAATCTACAATAAGCAAGTAGTTTCCTTAGCTGAACTGACAAATTCTGTGTCTCGCCTGTTTGGTGTGAGTCTGAATCAAACTGACACTGATTAAGTATGAACGAGGTTACTTTTGTCATGCTTCACATAAGTGACGTTGGAAAATGACTACCACAGATTGCCATCTGACGACCTGGATACTTAGATACAGCTGAGAAAAGACCGAATGGTTGACACACTCATAATTAAGGTGCCACAGAATCGTGCAGAGAGGTTTCACCGCACTATCACAAGACAATTGTACTCAGCCGCTTGACAGTTCCGAGCTGCACACACCCGACGCATGTAGTACGAGTCAGCAGAGGCGTATTATCTCTGCCCTTCAAGCATCATGCCTGTGATAAACGACCAGCTCGACTCACATATATGCCTTAGGAGAATCCTAATCGTTGTTGAAAAGTCTTATCATGAGTCATTGGAGCGAAATATCGAGTTAATGGACCCATGCTCGTATATAGAAAGAACAATATGGAGCCAAGTATCTCTCCGAAGTCGAGAAAGTGTAGCCTAGATTCGATCGGATGTATATGCAACAACTTGATAAAACAAAAGAAGCTCCCCAAAAACCGAAGATCCAATGACCTAAACAGAGCTTCCGAGAGGAGTAAGGATACGAAGTTGATACTGATTGCCTCAAATCGAGACTTATTGAACACCATAGCAGTGCAATCCAGCCCATGCCTTATTGTTTCCTGTCGGCATGTTATAGCCTCCGGGGAAGGTTTTCCGGGTAACACGACATCCGACCACATCTGCAGTTTCACACCTCGGCCTCAACAACCACATACACCCATCTCGTAAGGGGACCCTGCAAGACTCGTGTCATGTACGTTAATTCTGAAGGATGAGGCGGGGAGAGAGGTCTGTGTTTCTGCAGAATTGATAAAAAAAGGTCCATGATTAAATGATAGTTTGAGAAAAAGAAAAACGACATCCCGCTTGACCGAAAGCCCCACGAGAAGGATCACTTCCTAGGATAATACAAGTCACTCAGGGGTAAGAGCTTATGACAATCTACATATTCATGTATATCCACTTGTTCTAATGGACTGATTGCCGAGAGGCTGAGGAGTAAAGATTTCCTAATCGAGAAAGCTTCAGGCCAACTTGTGATACCATGCAGGAAACAGCACTTGTCAGCCGTTGAAGTGGCTTTTTTTGTGCTTTTGACTTGAACTATAAACGGGCCAGATAACACGGATCGGAATCCCTCAGGTGAGAGTGGGTTGTTAGTGAACTTAAACTCGATGCTCGAGGGGATCATAGCCGTGCGTTGTTTCATATAAACTTAACCATCATCCTGGCTTTATGAGTTTCGACATATGAGCATTCTTGCTACTTAAGCTGTGGATATAATCAAGGTTGTCACATTAAAAACGGCTCATATAATACACAACGAGAAAAATGACCTGATATGTTACACCAAGTACTTTCTTCTTTCTATCCATGGCGCCCCATAGCCTCTGTGCGTTGCAGCTGTAAGAAAGGTTGAGCGACTGCTCCTCTTTCAGTAGAGCCAAAGCGGACCGAAACTATGAGTCTAGGAGCGGAATAGTTTTGGTCACAAATGATATGAAAAAATGAATGTAGTATCTGTCATATTGTTGTATAGTAGATACGCTATTGGTGTAAAAGATTCCGAAATGCATCCGCAACAAAGTTACGCAGGAAGAGTGCATAGGGACAAAAGCGGATAGAGTGTGGCAGTGTTATTGAATAGTTGCACGCTGCTCATTGTTTGCTATTCAATGTACCTTTGACCTTCGAAAATCTTTGTGGTCGTTCGGTAGGGCGTACCTGATAGCTCATGTCAAACCTAAGGCGGTGCAACAAATGCTACGAGAACCGCGATTAGCGAGACCGAATCATTGTTTTTACGACTCTCAAGGCCTTGTGAAGTCAGAGGAGCCGCTTGAAAATGTAAGGACCCCTGCAATGACCCTGCATAAGCATTACTTTTTCTACGACGTGGCTTGCTGTCTTACATGAGCGTAGTCATATGAGAGACCAGCGTTGAACCAACGTGCAATCTTCAATTTTCCTCATCAATTTCGAGACTCTATTCTGCTTGTGTACCTGGAAGGAAACATCAGGTACAAACATAGAAGAAAGAATTCCCTCAAGATTCCCAGACTTAGTTTAGTCAACGGGAATTAACGGGAGAAACGGTAGATCGAAACTCGCAACAAATCTAGCCCACCGTAGTAGAACTAAACAGATAGTGTGTGTCATTGTCAAGTGCCGTTCAAGTAAACAAAGCGATCGTTGGCCCTGTTGTTGATTAGACTTGCTATCTATGAGCCGACGATGAAGCCGCATGTTTCATGTGGCAGCACGGCGCGTTAGTAGCGCATGGGCCACGAGGGGGATTTGCAGGCACGAACCATCCTATCGGCGCCAGGAGCCCCTTGGGTTGATGCTCGGTTAAGCCCATGATCGGGCGCATACTTACTTACAAGCCGATCCAAGAGTATCTTGACGTTGGAATGTCACAGCCGCCTTTGGACAGACACAAGCATCTGGATGGATAACGGCGCTGACGGCCCGTCATCTTAGAAGGATTTCTCTTACTGAAGTCTAAACGGGCCGCGCCTCGACTAATAAACGGCGAACGGGGTAAGTTTGATGAGAACGGTGCTTCCCGAGAGTGGGATTAAAACCACCGTACCGGTTGTTCCATAACTTGTCCACCGTCGACAGCGCGGTAAGCTAGCTATGCTTGTTTGTGCTAGCACAGACACCAGTGTTTGAGTGTTTGTGCATCGAGAGGAGATCAGATCGGCGTGGTTTGTGCTTCCGATTCAGCCCATGCAGTATGCGTAGTTCAACTGTCCATGAGGCAGGTACAGAGAGGTGCTTGGGGCGGCCGAATGACAACCGGGGAGCTCGGTAGTTTAGAAACCCTGGCCGATCTTTGCCCTCATAGGATTTTCAAGTTTCCTATCCGCACAGCTAGCCTCAATGTTTGCAACACGGTGTCGATGCCCAATTGTTTGAGCGGGGAATTGATACAGAGAAGACTGGAGCGGGCATATGAATCCTGCACACGAACTTGTGTTTCGATTGCTCTCATCAATGTGATCCTTGAGAGATGAGATGACCGGTGGTAATTAACCAGAAGCAAACTTGTTTGAGAGGTGATAATCAAAGTGAGTGCATAGAATGTGGAGCCTGGACCAGGGCTATGAGGAGCTGTCATCCGGGGTACAGCTCGGTACGAGTTTGCTGCATGTTCGTGCATACATACATATGAATATGTAGTTCTTGTGCATGCATATTAAGACGGCCATGATGCAGAGGAATCACGGCATTCAGACCAAGACCAGGCCGCGAATGTCAGAGGGAGTGAAGTTATTGTTCGCAAGATCGGCCAAGTTGTAGCTTTGCAAGCTGATTGAGTACTTAGCCCCTGCTGCCATAAACGCCATTGAGCAGGGGCGAAAGTGTTTTGTGTTGCAGCTTGGCGATGTAGGTTACCATTGTATAAGATTGGCTGGTTGTGTGTAAGTTGATTGTGGCATACGTATGTAGCAGCATCCCCGAGATCGTAGCCTTGCTTACTAGTTTGCTTCTAGAGAGGTGGCTCGTGCACTGCTTGTCCCGGAAGTTGAGGTCGTCTACGTCTAGTACCTAGTCGTTGAGTACCAGAACCTTGGACCAGGCGTTGGATTCGCTAAGAACAATAATAGAACTAGCTCCGGAAAAGATTTTGTAGCCTCTTATTTTTGTACAAACATGTACTCCGTAGGCCCCATTGTGTTTGGTAGATTGGGAGACCGAATTGCCTCTGCATGTTTCTCTGTGCTGTATTGACATACTCACAGCTCACGCCATGATCAGACCCCCAGACAACGAAGGAGGGTTCGCAATCTGTCATTTTGGCAAGGAACTTCCATGTTGTAGTGCTACCGAGGATCAACGGCTCCATATTGTAAATCCTGGGGCTTCGACTTGGAGGAAGTCTATGTACGTGCGATAGTCAGACCAAGTAAGCCAGGGATCGTACTTCAATCCATAAGGTCGTCACTCATCGACGTCGAGAGAGGAGATTGCGCATCCGGCGAGACCAACACGAGAAGCGTGGAACTCCTATTCGACGGCTCATTAACCAATCCTTGGAAATATGCAGGACCGATATTGCGGAACCACAAGGGCCCCTGGCCCGTGCATTAGCTTTCCCGGGGAGCTTTCTTTAGCTCATTCCGAAAGGGGGACGGACGTAGTTTTGTTGTCTCTAGACTCTGTATCCGTACAAGGTATCGATAAAGATTATCATCAGGCGACTGAAGAGATTTCCAGGTTCTTGGGGGAAGTACCTCGATCAATTGGAAATCTCAGGCATCACAATTTTCTAGGATGGAAGGTACTGGACGGAGCCCAGTTCCATTACTTCCTGCCATTCTGGTATCGATACGTCACTTCTTGATCAGGACCTTCCAGATTGTGTGTGTGACCGGGCACCGGAAGGAAAGTGCGCAGAGGTACCTACTCAGGTAGGCATGTAGTACAGACCTTCCGCAAATAACGGTATTCTGAGTTGCCTGCCTCATGGCGGGCCTCAGGGCAGTCATCAGATCAGACCACTCGTGAATCTTTTCCTTGGGAAATAAACGTTGTTTCAAGATCAATCTTCATCTGCATCTACTCAACTTTAAGCACACTCTTGGACAAATCACTTGCCTTTTCTTTCTCGTGGTGCTTCTACAGACCCGTTTGGTCGACCAGGATGGACAGGTCAGCCCTGGCCTGTCTAATCACTTCCAATTGATTGAATGCGACGTGCCAGGCCAGCCCAGGCCAGGGTGGAACTCTTATGGACCAGCTAATATTGATTGGATGTACGGACGGGACGAATCGAAAGAGGCGTCGACGGTCACCATTCTACAGACGCACCGTACGGAATGGCGCAAAGCCGGCCACAAGTGAGCGACAACAAAACTATCCAAGTTAGTTTTGAGCTGACGGAAAATTACAACAAGAATTGTTGGCTGGTATTGATTTGTCTGCGACAAGACATTTACGACACGGCCCAATAATACAATGCTCTCAGATTCTCACGCTGTGGCGTCCTCAGAAAGGGCCGCCTCTTCCAGACTCCTCATGTCAGTTGGCCAGACACTTCGAAAGTGACGACTTTGATGAGCATCACCTTCGACCTCGACGCCATTCCCCTCACCAGTCGAGTAAATATGTAAGCCTCGTCGACCCTTAATCAAAGACAACTAGGTCCGACTTCCCGGGCTCTGGCTTGGCTCCACCTCCCGCCGCCTAACTAGAACACCATTCCTTTTCTGTTCAGAGTTTGCAAGGATTCCATGCTATCGCCTCAAACCCCTGTTGGTTTGTCCTGGTTAGAGAGACATCCCTCGTCTTTGTCATTTGCAAGGCTCTGCTCAATTGTCATTAGCAATTGGACTGTTCGAACTGAACACCTCACAAGTGGATACTCAACAGGGACCTGGGCTCTCTGCGCCGCGTGGGCTTTAATCACATTTTGGACCTGCCTGGGGACAGCCGCACGCATCACTACCACCTACCTTTTGGACCCTCGAGATTCTTGATCATACTTCCAACATTCCTTATCTTTCCTTTCTCGCCCTCAAACTCGTCACCCTCTTTTTGAGTCTTGGTTTGGCTTTCGACCATCATTGCTTTTGGTCTTCCTGCTGCTGCTGCTAGTGCTGGTACTGGCTGTGATATCAGTATTATTCTTTGTTTCACTTCATCTGCAACAGTTGTACCTTGCATCCGGCTCGCGGACAACCAATTCTTTACACCCGGTGTCATGGCATCGTATTAGCTCTTACACTTCCGTGTGAACACCGAGGTTGGTTCAAAACGCCAGTCGTTTGCTTTATTTGCATTGTAAGTTAAGACACATTTTCCAGTCTTGTTACTTAGCGCATGTTTCAAGCCGCTCCCATTGTCGCATGTTTTACTTTCGACGACTTACAACAGCCCATGAATTTAACCATACACTGCGATTTTCCCGAATTGCCTTGTGATATCCTCGGAGTTCAAAAAGCTAATCTAGTTGACGTATAGCGATGGCATGACCCATTACCAAGACCGTGTGCGCAGTAACATTGGGATCTTTTCCTCTCGAGACCCGGGTATTTTACTTGAAACCCTCACCATCTCTTGAGTATAGTTCTCTCTACAGGTTCGTCCTACATCACATACTTCCAAAATAATATAGTGGCTGATTGTATGATGTAGAACATATTCTTTCCTTTCTTATAGCAACTTTTGACAGACACTGGTCCCCTCAGTTACGGGCAGCGTCCTCTCTACATTAACCCCCGCCAGTGAATATCGACGTCTTCTACAGGAGCATACTCAAACTTCACCATGGGCGTTTGGGAAACAGATGATGAGTATCTAAGTGGGCCGGCTGCCACCTCGCTGCCGACTCCTTTGGATACTCCCTATCGAACACCTTCAAGGACATCGAAGAAGTCACGACGCTCGATCACACCACCAGACCCAGATTCGTCTCCACCTCAACTACCGAACGAAATGGGTTCTAAAAGGTCATCCCGGAATGCCACAACCGATGAAAATATCAGCATACTCGACCCTCGACGATTTACTCCTACCTTACACGCTAACTTGGTATCCGAGATTTTGAACCTTCGACGAGATCAGGAAGAAAAGATTCGACAGATCGAGACCCTAGAAGCATCTCTGCATGCCACAAAAGAGGAGAAGGACAACCTAAAACAGAGCCTCACTGACACTGGCAAGGAAAGCAGATCGCTAAAGCGACAACTTTCTCTCCTTGAAGGGGGTTCCTCATCAGCACTTGGAGAGTTAGCACGAGAAAGAGATGATGCAGTTGAGTCTGTTGCTGATACGAGAAAGCGACTGGAAACTGCCCAAAAGAAAATTCGAATCCAGGAGGAGGACTCAGTAAGAGTCCACGATCAATGGGCTGAAGAGAAAGAAGAGTGGGAGAACGAAAGACGGAAGTTTGAACACCGTCTTCACGTCGCGGAAACTCGCCTGAAGACTGTTCTGGATGAAGTCGCTGCATATCAACAAACCCAGTTGAAGAACGTACCTGGTGGAGCCCACCACGCTGGTCATGACAGCGAAGCCGAGGAAAGTGGTCGCGAGAACGACGCTACCAGCATCAGAACTATGAGCATGACCAACAGCGTTCGGTTTTCTTTCACCAATGGTCTCGGGGCATTGAGATTGAACGGCAATTCTTTGGCTGACGAGCTGAACTTCGACGATGAGGACGAGCAGAGTGACTTTGACAACGGTCGAGAAAGCGCCATGTCAAATTATGGTCGAGAAAGCGCCATGTCAAACTATGGACCTTCCTTCCATGCTCGAAATCTCAGCCGAGACAGCCCGGTAAAGCGGTTTCATGCTCGAAACCAGAGCCTCGAGAGCATCAAGAGGACGGGAAGTGTGACTCGTGGAAGACTTTTCATGAACCCCCCAGTCCCAGAAGCCTTAGAGGATGAGGAGAATGAGAACGAGTTGTCTACTGCCATTGCTCCCAAAGTTTCATACACCGACACGGGAATCCAGTACTCGCCACCCCCTTCACCCAAATTAACTCCCGTGAAACCCGCAACTCCCGAGCGCCCAACTCGTACCAAGACCTCTGAAGTCGAGTGTTCCCCGAGAGCAGACGGGGAGATTGAAGCCAACCAGCGCCGGAAGCGTGTTCATCGCCCGCTCAGTCTCGAACCTACAGCGATTGAACGCGTTATGGTCTCAGCCTCTGTCCAAACGAATGAAGAGCCACTGGTACCCCCAATGACACCCAAGTCGCCTACTCGGCCACCACCACCTCCCCCAGTACAGGCTTCTGTAGTTGAAAAGCCTTTGATGGTTACGTCCTTTACACAAACCGACAGCCCGCCCCCTCGCCCATCATCGGCCACACCAGGCCGTTTGCCATCACCGCCTCCGCTTGCAATTCCAAGTATCAGCGTGCACCCTCCCAGCACCCGCCCTAGCACGCCCAAAGAGCCTCGGTTACCTGTTCTCCATAAAGACTTCGGATGCCAAGTTAGAATGCCTGAATCAATATCAACAGCTGAAGCGGGTGTGCAAACTGAAGGCATCCAGACGGATAAGCGAATGGCCCTACTGCCACCTCATCTCCAGCCTTCTGCCATTTCCTCACGCCCCTCTTCACCCAATCCATCATCTGGTATCGACATAACAAAGAGCTTTACCCCTGTCCCTGGTAACGTGCCACCACGAAACCCCCGTCGGCTGGAAAGGCAGAGCTTCGGCGAGCAACCATCATCTCCAATCTCTTTGCCCGAGGATGACTCACTTCATGATATTTACCCAGGGAACAACGATGATGGGCCCCTCTCTGGCCAGAAAGCTCCAATGCGACGACCGCATCGTTTCAGCAGCCTCTTTGCTGGCTTCGATGGTGGTAGTTCTGATGAAGCGGATGACTTTGGTGATGCCGACTTGAGTGATCTGGAGTATCGAACTGCACTATCTGCACCTCGACCTAAGTCTATTTCTAGTCGTCCCGGTAAGCGTAGCTCAACGGGTACGACGGATACCTATGGTACAATTCCAACATCACCTGAGCAGGTTATGTTGCGTCAAGGCCCTCGGGTTGCCACAGAACTTCACCAGCCATTCACAATCAAGTCTGGAAAGGGATTTGAAAAGGGTCCTGCTGCCATGCCGTCCAATCGGGCCAGTATCATGCGAAAGTCGGCCATGATCCAGAGTGGCATTACAAGCCATCAAGGCCCCAGTTCAACTGACACCAAAAACCCTCCTCCATTCCCTATCCCTACCAGAGCTAGCTCCAGAAACGTCCCAACAAGCACAAGTGCTCCAAGTGACGGCCAGAGAAGCCCAACTCGTGGCGATTTCTTCCAGCGTCGTGGATCAGGCCGTGTTTACCGTGCCGGTAGTGTACGAAAAGTCCGTTCTGCCGCTGCATTGCCGCGCCACCACCGACATCGCAAGCAAGATAGTCGGTCTTCTGCTCCATTGTCCCCTTCCACTGAAGCACCCGAGAGTCCAAGTCTCCCTCCTTTGCCAAGGAATGATATTACAACTCCTCGTACTCGTGCTCGCCATAGTGGCCAATATAAGCATCACCACAAGCTCTCTACCAACACGGATAACACTTTTAACACTTACAATACTTCCAACACTTACAATACCGGAAACACTCTCAACACCTCCAGTACCGATCCTCCTCCTTCCACGCAGAGCGCTGCACAGAACACGAGTGTGGTAGATGCTATTGCTCAGACCATGGTTGGCGAGTGGATGTTCAAGTATGTTCGCAGAAGAAAGTCTTTCGGCATGCCTGAAAGCAACGGCAAGGATGATACTGGTAACGACCGTCACAAGAGATGGGTTTGGCTCGCTCCTTATGAACGAGCAATTCTATGGAGCAGTAAGCAGCCGGCCTCGGGCACCGCCCTTATGGGCAAGCCTGGTCGAAAGTGTAAGTAACTCCTTGACTATATCCATGAGTGTTCGCTAACGGCTGTAGTGACGATACAATCCGTACTTGATGTCAAGGACGATAATCCTCCACCAAAGGGGACAACATCAGTCTTCAACCGATCTATTCTTATCTTGACACCGCAAAGAGCTCTCAAATTCACGGCAGAGTCTCCTGAACGTCACTATATCTGGTTGACGGCGTTGTCTTTCCTGGCACATTCGTCTCAGGCAGTCCCCGAAAACATTCCAGCACCACCAAAAATTCAGCAGACACCGCTGCCTGACTTTGAGGCACCACAGCCCAAATTGAAACGGGGCGGTATCAGAGATTCTATCCGTCTTGCTAAGGGCCGCACGGTTGGTCGTGCTGCACCACCCAGTGTCCCTAGCATTCCAAGTGTGCCATCTTCACAACTCGGAGATGCTGCGAACTTCCCAGCTATAGAGCCTGCTGAAGGACCTGCAAATACATACTCCCGGGATGATTCTATCGATGCCGCCCAGCCCCCACTGATACCACGATTCCATGATCGTAACCAGCCTGTTGCTCACGGCCGCAAGAGGAGTAACACAGGTGGTCATGTGCCCCCGCCGCTTTCTTTCCGAGGGTTCTCTGGCCCCATTACTGGTCATCAATCAGCAAATAGCACCGCTGGAAACAGCACCGGGACAGCAGGTTCCTCCGATATCTACCAGTCCCAACCATCAAATAACGGAGCTTGGGCGATGAGCCAGACAGGTTCGCAGCGAACATCAGAAGCCTCGTCTCGTCCGGGCAACTTCTTTGATGCTATCGGCACTGTACGAATGGAGGCCTTCATTAGTCCATTGGCATTTTCTCAATTCAACGATTACCCCGATGAGCAGGACGAGTTTCGGCACTCGCTCCGACGGCGAAGCAAAGAACAACGAAGACGACAAAGTCGAAGCCGACACCGAGATAGCTACAATTCTCGTAGCACTCGTACAACAAACGATGATTATTATCACGGAAGTAGAACAGCGGGAGAGGAAGACTATTTCCGTGACGACCCTTTCAGGGGATTTTAACATAAACCATTTTGCACAGCAGCCACGACGGCAATCACCATTTTCATTATCTATACTTCTTTTCTTTGTCAACTACCTTGGATAAGGAAGAGTTATGGCCGGTTATATACCCTTTTCTATATATATACTTTGGGATGGTTTGTGAACGGCTCAAAGGCTGGTCAAACCTCGGTTTGGAGTTTTAGAGTTGCTTTTTTACTGGAATGATGTTACAGTCATCAAAAGCTTGGAGGATACATGGACTCTTCCATCATTGTTTTGGTTAGAGGTTGGCATAACCTCGTTAAGGGGGGTCTGCCTATGGTGTGAGGAAGGCGAAATATAGTGCTGACCTGCCAAACAGGCGAGGTACAATTGAACTTGGAGAGTTAGTAGCTAGGTACATAAATGAAGACTAGGCACAGCCAGTTTCATCATATCCAGCCGCATTTGTGTATACTGCATATTCAAGGGAAGCTGGCAGATTAAGGGTACGAACACTGGCATATTACCTGGAATATTCGCTGAAATTCTTCAATGCTATGTGCTCGAAGTTGTTATAGCAGAATCAACGTCATTTCTAATTCAACGAATGCCCCACTGATGAATTTTCCCACTACCCCGCGATCTGCAGCTCAGCTCAGCGAGCTTCAATGTTTTCCACACCAACATTTCCACCCCAGCTCTTCCTATGATAAACTGCTCAACTTCCAAGACTTAATCTACCCGAATTCCATATTTGAACAAGCACCGAGCTGTCTCATCCGATCTCACAACTTACCATGGACACCTCCGCACCCACAGAAACACTCGAGCAGATGCAGACACGGCATCGTCGTGAGCTCAAAGATCTGCAAGGTCGCATAACTGGAAAGAAGAAGAACGCCACCAAGAAGACTCGCAAAGGCGTCAACGACGAGTGTGCAGAGATGGAGCGTCAACTACGAGACAAGCAAGCCGCCGAGGTTGCCGCCTTGAGTCCGAGCGAGAGCAAGAACGAGGAGAACGAAGATGATACTGCTTCTGAGGCAGGGGATAAGCCAGAGGAAGACAAACTTGCCGAAGAGACTCAGAAGTTGAGTGTCTCAGAGCCAGTGGAACAGCAGCAGCAGCAACCGGGGAAGAAACGAAACCGCCAGAAGGAGAGAATGGCTCGACGTGCTGCAGAGCAGGAAGCAGAGGCGCAGCGTGCGGAGGAGGAGGCGTCTAACATGACAAACTACCGAGCGAAGGAGAGCGAGTATATGAAGACGACATTCGAGAAGCACGGCCTAGTAGAGAAAGATATCGCCCCCGATGGACACTGTCTTTTCTCAGCGGTGGCGGATCAGTTGGGCCAAAACGACATCCCACTTAGCGACGGAGCTACGCAAGAGCCGGCTTACAAGACAGTACGACGAGTGGCTTCGCATTATATGCTGGAACATGGAGACGACTTTGCTCCTTTCCTAGAAGAGGACCTTGAAGGCTACGCTCGTAAGATGAGGGATACTGCTGAATGGGGCGGACAGCTTGAGCTCATGGCATTGGCACGGCAATACAAGGCAGAGATCCGAGTCGTGCAAGATGGACGCATGGAGCGCATTGGCGAGGAAGAGGGAGCCGAGTCAGGAAAGACGCTATGGCTGGCATACTACAGGCACGGCTACGGGTTGGGAGAGCACTACAACTCTCTCCGAAAAACATCATGATGAGAAGGAAAACAGAAAATCGCTCTTTTTCTTTTGTGTACAACGGCGACAGATCACATACGGTGGCTGTTTGGTATCGAGACGTAAAGAAGAAGGTCTGGTCGCCGAAGCATTCAGTTGGGCTATCGGCTCCAGACAGAGAGGAAGTCCATCACTGCGCCTTCTGGACTCGTGCCGGCCTTGTGCGTCCTTGTTGGTTTGAGAAGACTCAATCGATGTAGGGCGTCGGCCCAAGGTTTTGAGCAGGGGTCCTCGTGAACGGTACCGTCGTCGTTGTATGCGATTTCCTCACCAGGAGCTGCCAGAAGGGCTTCGTAAAGCTCCGGTGAGACGCCCCACGGAGGGCCGTTTGCGGACATGGGTTTTGTCGAAGGGAACTCGAGGCAGACGAGACGACCATCATGTGAAAGCAGCTCCGTCATGCGCTTGGCCCATCTTGGTCGCGCCACTGGAGGTAAAGCGCACAAGAACTATCAAGTTAATTAGTTTACTGGAGAACAGCAGAGAAACCCAGTATCTATGAGCTGGACCGGAAGGATAATAATTACCGTATAATCGTAGATGAGATCGAACTTGCCGTTGTCACCGATATCCTTAGCCCAATCTTGCTTGAAGAAATCACCAGTAACCCAATTGATCTTGCCCTTTTCCAAGCCGTCAACGGGCTTATAGAGTCCCTCTGATTCGGCTTGTTTTTGGTTCTTGATAGCCTCCTCCTTTGCAGCAGCGCTGTAATCGAGACCCCAGACGTCGTAGCCCCACGAGCTCAAGAGAAGCACGTCATGACCACGGCCACAGCCGGGTACCAGAGCGGTTTTTTTCTGAATAGCACCTGCGGAGTCTCGGAGAGGATGTCCGCGATGGTCCTGATGTTGAGAGGGGGGTACGAGATCGTGTCTTTGGGCGAGAAGGTCGTGGAGGGCAATGGAAGCGGTGCCGCGGTCCCAGGGAGTTAAGGACTCTTGCCAACAACTATCCCATTTGGAGCCTTGCTCTGCGAATGGGACAGAGGAGATGCGATCCTCTAAAGGGTTTTCGGTAGCCATTGGCGCGTGGGTAACTAGTATGACGGGGTTATATGGCGGCGGATACGTGTAGGAAGTAAAATTGCTCGACCCGAGGTCACGAATTTGAGTGTTAAGATAGTGCAGGTTAATGGAGGTGAGGGGGAGGGTCCCTTCGGGTCGGGCGATGGACGGATGGATCGATCAGCTCGGATCCAATGGTGGGGTTAGAATGACGAAATAGGGGTGTTTGTGGGGAGCTGTCAGTTTATATATAATTGATATTGTGTTGCGTTACAAGATAATCGGCCTTGGAAGAATTTAGACAAGATATGCAGTAGAGTTGAATTGTTAGGGAAAACCGAGGAAGAAAAGAAACAATTTTTAACTTGGTCGCGTGCTTTGCTCAACTTTCGGAAGGCATGACACACTATCTGTACAAGCATCCGGAGTGCTTACCTAGCGCATACGCTAATATAAATTGGAAGGCATGAGCGAGGGACGATATCGGAAAGCGACTGCCATTTATCATCAGATGTTCGTCAGGAAGGTGTTATGCTCTGTAATGCTGTGTTGAGACTGGTAAAACAGTAACTCGTTTGACATGTGAAGTATATCGAATGGTGGGGGTTTCAACGTCATCTACCTAGGTACCTACTCATGGAGCTCATAATGTCTCAGTGAACTTGATCAGGATCACTTATTAAGAGCAGAGCCTAGACAGTTCCAGATACTCACCACACAATGCAAGACCCAGCCAAGTACGGATCAAAAGAGGCGCAAAAGTCAGGTCTAACCTGCATCATATGCACATGCCGTGCAACATCACGAGGCGCACCTTGTACAGCAGGATCGGGTCATGACACCTAGGTACCACTGAAGCGTCTGTCTAGAAGTGGTCTGTCAGAACGGCCCAAGATAAGACATTTCGTTTACTCGGATAAGCCAAGTACCTTAGATATACAGCATCATCTAAATTCCCTATTCATATACAAGCTAAGAAGAAAAGGACCATTAACTCCTCCCCTTAGCTTCTTGTCTGCCCTTCTTGTCTGCCCTTGGCAAAGTCCTCCTCGAACTTTTTCTTTTTCTGGGCGAGCGAGTCCCATAGACTCCCACTCTCCTTCAGAGCCTCAGGCTTACCACCTTTGAGGGCCCAGAGAATGCTAGTGCTGAAGTTCTCAAAGGCTCCGGCATCCTTAGGAATCTGTTGAAAGCCATCAGGATCAGGCGTAGACTCTCTGGAACGCATGTTTTGGAAGGTATCCTTGACCTTCCTTTTCCCCTTTCCAAACTGTGTCCCTGCGTTACCAACGAAGCGCCCAATCTTTCCGGCAAAAGATGTTTCTGATTTCTGCGAGGAATCTACCTCTGTTGTTTGCATGGGGACATCGGCCGTGACTTGAGGGGCCGTAGTCTGCGTCGCGGTCTGGATGTTGACCCCGATACTTTCTTCCAAAACCTCTTGGACACTAGCCGGCTCCTTCTGTTCGATCGTAGGGCCCCGAAGTCCTTCAATGGAGATGTTGCACATGCTTTTGACTCTCTTTTCTGCTTCCCGGGACAGCATCATTTCTCCATTGTCTTCCTGCCCAGGCTTCAGCTCATAAGCAGGCATTTGGATAAAATCTTCCATTGCTTCAAGCGTGGCCCGGATGACTGTTTCTTCACCGTTGAACCATTCTCGATGTCCTTTGCCACAAGTTTCGCATTCAGGGACATCCAGCTTGAACCTACCAAGAAACTTGTGCGCCAGTATCTCGGCTTTATGAGCGCCAGCAAAAGGTTTGCTGGATTCATAAATGATCTCAGTGTTCTTTCCGTAGCAATTGTTGGGCTGATGTTGTCTCTCAATGGCGCTTTTCTCAGTCCATCCAACTTTGAAAACTCCTTTGTTCTTGGTGTGCCTCAAGACGTACACAATCCCATGTTTTCGCTGATTGCCAGGGATAGGAGGAGTGCGCAGAGCTTCTATAATGGGAGAAGCATGATGCAAAGTCCCCTTTCGACTTAGTTTAGCTATGCCAATGCCTTCAAAAGCAATTTCATTGCCGAGAGGGTCATCTTCAAACTTAGGAGCCTTTCCTTCCCATGTTGAAACAACGTCAGTGGGCCGATCGACGACAGACCTTTCGTCGGTAATGATTGAAAGCTCCTCGGGCATTCCTTTGAAAGACGCATTGTCATCCTCTGAAATGCTTTCTGCAATGGCAGGTTTGCCACCAGCAGAGGAGTTGTTTGGAGTCGGTAAAGTACTGCCGAGAGACAAGGTCGAAATATCTTTTGTGATAACGTTGACTGCAGATTTATCTGTGTTTGTCGTAGGCACAGGCTCATGATTGACGATGTCAGGTTGAGTGTCTGGTATGGAACGGTCAAGGATAGAAGCCGGGAGTTTGATGGGAGTTCTGATTGAATCAGGTTCGGTGAGAGGAGTCGGGAAAGGTGAGGTATCGTTACAGAAAGAAGGATCAAACATTTCTGTCTCTGGCGTTTCTGGTGTCTCTGGCTCTGACGCCTCATCTGGATCATCTTTCAAGGCTCTGCTCGACTCTTGCGACAAAGACTGCGAAGTCTCAGCTGGAGTATCGGCCAGGGCAGTAGACGCGCAGTGCCTGTCCTTCCACTCCTCGAATGACTTCAAGACATGAGGTTTGTGTACATGGCAGTGTGTAATCTGAAGAAGTCTTTCGACCTTTGGATAAAAGAATGAAACATCTAGGCATTCTTTCTTCTGCTCAATCTCTGACCAAAGACGCATGGCTTCGTCTCGCGCAATGTCAGCCCGTGGGTTACCACAACGAGTCGAGTCGCCTTTTTGCCAGCGACAAAACTTGAAATCATGTTCATCTTCGGGCTTCGGAAAGAAAACGATGAGCTCTTTTAACCCCGCGAAAAGAGGACGTTCAGAGACTTGGGAAGTGGTCATATTGATACGAGATAATGAGAGTTGCTAAGTATGCACTCAGTCTCACGAGAACTCAAGTCGCGTCTACGGTCTATTAAATGCTGAGAAATTCGAGTGGCTAGCAATTCCATACTCCAGGGGATTGAAATGAGCACAAGGATCTGGAAACCCAGCCCTGAGGAACATGGCGTTGGTTCGAGGTTTGGAAGTTCATGGTGATGGATGATATGCAGTTGGTCGTGCTTTGCAGACGGAAGGATTTCCCCGGGCTAGAAGAGGAAATAACATGTCGAGAGCTGAAGAGTGTTGAAACACCAGGGGCCACGTGCTAGTCATCCTTACGACTGGGTGTAAGTCTGAGCCCAGGGCTATTATCGTGCTTGGCGACCCTGTTCTTTTGTGATAACCCATACGCGAGGGTTTCAGTTTATGTAAGGCAGTGTGTGTGACAACCCACGTTTCTCACCACCATCTTTTTGCTAGGGGAGGGTTGCAGTGAGAGTGCAAGATCCAGATAGACACGGACTTGACCGATACGTAGCCCTGAGCCTTGCCGGGTGATTCTGCTGTGCCGTTGATCGAGCGTGCGGGGGGCCTCATGCCCAGCAAGACAAGGCCTTGGGTCTGGGAAACGATAAGGAACTTTTGAGATAGATCTCGATGTTTTTATTTGATTTGAGGGTCTTATGACTTTTGAGCACTGTGAGTGTTAGATGAGAACAGAGAAGAGTCGAAATTCGATGTTGGTTTACTGCAACCTCTTCAGTGTTCCAGGCATGCCTGAAGTTCTGTCAAGGCGCCTGTTCGCGGTCAGTATAGTGTAGCACTATGCAGTGGTTATCTTATCTCAGAACTCAACTTATCAGTTATCAGAGCTTTTATCCGCGGCAGTTGACAGCTGAAGAATGCTGGCTGGAAAGTACGATGCTTAAACAGTGGAGTTGGGTATGAATTTCACGATCAATGATCCCAATATAGTGGCAAGGGAACCGCTCACGTGCATGAAACATTCGGAACCTGCCTCAAGTACCGAAAACGGTCCCTTTGCCTCGGAAGCGCGAGTTCATCATAATCAAGGAATTGGACAAAATATGTGTGGGTGACTGTTTATCTCATTATAGTACTGTCAAGTATCTATCTAAGCAGCCCAGCCCTGGGCAGTTCAAAGCCGTGGTAATTCGGCTTGATAACTAGCTAATAAACATGATCCGCCAGTGGTATATACATCATCCATCCAGTCATCCATCTATGTACCAGCAGTACGGATATATCTTGTATATCATGCCGTTGCAGAAAGTGGGGAGGGGAAAATAAGAAGCAAGAAAGTAGACTATATGGGGGTCATTCATTGCCTCCATTTTTGTGTCCCGAACGCCGAAACCCCGGATATCCGCTATTTGATACCGAAAAAGAGAACAAGGCAATACGTAAAAACAATGGTTGGTGGTAAAGTAAAATCAAGGTATGAGGGGAATATCAAGATGGTATGTCTTGGTATGACGACACTTGTTGCTCCCGATGCGTCCTTTGGTGTGTGGTTGCTGTTACTTGCGGATAAAAAGCCGAGGTTAGAATTTGGGATGACGGGAATAGATGGACTCGATAAAAAACATTCCCGGCCCGACAAGATACTCAGTAAAAAGAGAATCAAGTCCAAGTCGCTTCATCTCGGTCGGATCAAGGGCCGAATGGGGATAAGAATGGCCCACATGAGATTGTGTTGTGCAGCGCAGTTGCAGTAGTATCGGTCAAATACAGACCGAACCGAGTGAAAGGAAGCCCATGATCCATGTCCTTTTTTTCTGTCGAACCATTTTCCAGTGACGAAAAAAAGAGTATTCATCGATAAGAGACAAGTTTTGAGGGTTGATGTGATAGACAAAGAATGTGAATATGGCGATGGGCGTCATGATTGGTGAGATGGGATCAGCCAAACATGCCACTGTCGCAAATCTCCTCCAATGAAGATGCCGTAGTGATCCGATGAGCTGTAAAGGTTGTCGACAGCCATCTTCTTGATTCGTCCTTCTTTCCTCCTGTCGTGTAAGGGAGGTTTTTGATTGAGTGGCCTTTTCATCATCGCAAGTGAATAGGTACGTAGTGAGTGGCCAAGTCCCTTACAGACCACAGTCTTCAAAGTCGCGAATCATGATGGCCATCTGAGCTCTCTTGGCAGCCTCGGCAATAAGAGTAAAGTCCTGGAGGAAAGGAGCCGTTGAAGGGTTGTTGCCTTGGGTAGGAGCTGGCTGAGGAACCATCTGGACAGAGGGGGACTGCTGAGCCGAGGAAGAAGAGCTGGAAGGGGCGTCCATTGTGATAGTGGTTGTTGGTGGTAATAGATAGTGACGGACGATGGTTGTATAAGCGAGTGAGTCTTGTGAGAGATAGATGGTAGGAAGAGTAAAAAGTGTGGAAGAAAGTTGAGGTGGGAGAGGAGGGAATATGTATTCGGGACGAGGAGAAGAGAGACGACAAAGTTGGGTCAGGCAGCCAAGAAATAGTGACAGCACAGTATACTATGCTGCATGTACCATGGATGTATGGATGTGCTGGATGGATACGATGCAGTACGCATATGGACCGGATATGCTTATGTATGATGGATGGCTTATAATTAGTCTGAGCGCGTGGGGTAAAATGACGGGATGTCAATCTTTTGCTTTGGCTTTACTTGCTTTTCCCCTTTGGTCATCAACAACCCAACTTGTCAACTTGTTTCACACACACACTTTTTCTCTTTTCTCCTCTGCAGAGTGACGTTCCAGGTTACCAAAAGTGGTGACGCTGTTGACAATCAAATCATCTAGAATCATTCTTGTCTTCTCTGGTGTGAACGATTTCGGCTTTAGGCTGATGCCGCAAGCTGTTCTGTTCTGCGCTACAGATAAAGGGCCGAGTGTCTCAGTAGCTAAGACACGACAGTTGGTCTCAGTTGAGATCGTGTAATCAAATGGAGCAACGGAAGCGCCGAAGTGTGGAGGAGGAGCAGGTTGATGTTGACGTTAATTTATAAAAAGTGGAGGATGCCGAGATATTGAATGAGGCCGAGAAAGACAGTCAGTCAGTTATCATGGAAAAGATGGCACCACATCTACTGCACTGTCTTCTCATCTACCTATTTTATCCGCAAACAAAGTAAAGCTCCGATGTTGCATGCAGAACAAATGTTCCTACATAGACAGATCCATCCATTCCCTTTCAAGACATAATCCTCAAGGTTCTTTTTTCTCTTTTACCGTAATTTACATGCCTCATTCTCGGCACTGCAAAAATCACGCGGCGGGTCCAAGCATAAAAAATCATTAACGAAAAAGAAGCCCCGGCGAAAAGAAAAAGAACAAATCTTTACTCGGCCTTATGCCCCGGGAGCTAAGGAACTGGGGTTTCTAGGGACAGTAGCCTCTGTGGATCTGGGGTGGAAACGGATCTTACTGTAGAAAAAGACCCATCTAGTTTTTTTTTTTTCTTTTTTC